GTCGCCCATGGCTAAATGGGAACATGATATTGTAATAATTATAGATAATATGATGTCGGTATATTAGTTGACATGACATCGTGAAGAGCATGTCATGATTGAAAGACACTGGTGTTTAGATGTGTTTATATGATATGTGCTGGTTTTTCATTGAAGTATCTAACGCCATGCTTCAAACAATTGAATATTGTTTTATCCGGTGGATGCACCGCACACTTCAAGGTCTATTTTGCTTGCTCAGTTCTTGGGCGCATTCCCAGGATCCTTGATGTAAGTTCCACCCGTGGTTTGGTTGAGTTCCCACCCCTGCTGGGGTGCCGACCGTGGTGTTTCACCCCAAACCGTTTCCACCAGGTGCCCGACTCCGAATTCAAATCCTGGCGCTTAGTGCGGTGTACCAAGAACGGCAGCAGCCGCGTGCACCTGAAGGACCGACGAGGGCGCAGCGCTGCGGAACGACGTGCGACTGGTGAGACCGTTCGGCGCACGAACGAGTTGGCCAGGACGAAGAGACTTGGGACGGCGATTTCGCGATTGGAGATCCGCGTCTTTGTTTGGAACATGTGAGGGGCCTAGTTGGAAGATGGGGGTAAATGGGGTGGCCCGATCCTTGGTCCTGAAGGGCCATTGATCAGGGATTGAAGATGGGATTGATCAGTGTTCCATCATGTTGTTTTGCACATATCGTCATTGGTCTTCGGTGTTAATGATCCAGGTTTTGGCACGAGTAGGCGAGTGCTACTGATCCAAATGACACAACTCCCCATTTCGCCGGAGATGCGAAGACGGCTTTCGCAGGATCAAATAGGGTGGTCCAAGGATTTCATACAGTTAGATGCCACGAAGCTCCGTGGGATCTCCTTGGAGCTCCGTGGGATCTCCTTGAAGCTCTGCGGGTGGAGGCGAAGGATGTGGATGTCATGGATGTATAGCGGAGAATGGTAGTTAGTTTAGAAAGAGAATGCAAGAGAGGTCATCAGATCAATAGATGTTGATCCAGTGAAGCCTGAGCACCCAGCTGTTGCTTGTTCTCCGTGGTGCCTAGCTCTACAACATGAACAACATGAACATCGCTTCGAGACAGCAATGTCTTGGTTCGAGCCCGACCACCGCTACCTTCACCTCTCGCCCGTCGGGAGTTCGCGGGAGCGACGATGGGAGTCGAAGCCGTCTGAAGTCGATTCAGGTGCACCCCAATCCATTGAATTCTTTGTCTCGACAGCGAGTGCCTCAGAGACAAGGTCGACCATGACAGGCATGGTGTTTTCTCGAGTCTGCGCCTGTCGGTGGCCTGTGCATCCAAAAGATACAGCCATGCGGACACCTCATATATGTTTGATCATCAGGGCCAGGGGGCATTCATTCATTTGCAATCAGCGCAGCCAACGCTAGTTGATCGACTGGAACTCTTTTGTTGATAGTTTCGGAGCTGGCCTCATGTCCGAAGAGAATTGTGCCTGCCTCAACTAATTTTTGTCAGAGTCGAGCTTGGCCGAGGTCTAGACACAACAAGCCCTTGACAATCAAGGCATGATCAGGAGACCTTATAGAAACATGTAGAGCGCCGATCGCGCCACTGGCTTTCCAGGGACTACAGAAGATGTTGATGCAAATAGTTTTGGCTTCTGACCCCTGTCTCAACTACATGATTCTAAAGTGACCTGACCATCCAAACTCTCGGTTGATCATGCACTTGCTTGGGAGAAACGTGGAACTCACTGGCTTTCGGAGTGCAAAACCACGAAACCAATCGAGTGGGCCGGTCGGCCCGCGGCTTGGTCGGGCGAAATCGTCCTGACGCCCCCGATGTTTTGGGTTGATAGAATTTTGACGGAGTATTCACAAGATCGCAGAGAGCCAAAAGCAACCATGGTGATGGACATCCAGAAGGGACTGGAGTGGTCAGATCTGTGCGATTTGCTGCATTAAACAGAGGATTTCATGATTCTAGGCGCACATGGCTTCATCACCGTGCATCACCCAAATATGTCTCCTGACCAAAAAGAGATATAGACTATACAATAGATCGATTGATATTATATTATATATTATATACCCTATAGATATATATTATAGATATTATATATAGTATATTATATATTGTATTATTATATATTATACCCTATAGATCGAATTGGACTTCAGCCGGGTATAGCTATAGGCCATGCTTTCCATGTTTTCGACACATGGAGTGTTGGACCGGTGGAACTGCGCAGCTGGTCCCTCCGTTCTCAGGAGAGATGCGGTCGGTCTGGGGACCTGGATCGGTGGGTGTGCTTGTTTCTCCGCGAGGACACCAAGCAAACAGGGTGGACACCAACAGGTGGATCGGTGGGCGTCCGATCGCTCCTAGTATGGCCAGCCCCTCGTAAGCTTCCGATCGCTCCTAGTATTTTGTCATACTTTCTTGGTTTAAAGAGGTCCTCTGTGCTCGAATAAGTGATCGTTTTGAGGATCCAGCATGATCCAGCCAATCACTGCACCAGTGACTATAGTGTGCGTTTGGCCCTCGTCCTTTTTCCGAGTTCAGAGTCGACGCCGAGAGATGTCCAGCCGATGCGTCCAGCCGTCTTCTCCGGGATTGGACCCGAGCCGAGGCTGGCAGCATGCTTCACAGGCGTTGTGTAGGGCTCTCAGGCTTTCAACATCTTTCAAGCCTTTGGTGTTGCTTTTTCCTATCCGCCATTATGCTATAGTCACATGGAAGCGAATGGAAGGACATCTTTGTTTGTGCTGTTCTGCAAGTGCCTTTATATTTCTGATTTTGTTCATAGAATACGACCAAGGGACGCTACGTGCGTTTGGAGCACATTCTTTAAGAGGAGAAATGAGTTGGTGGATCACTTCTACCAGCTCCACAGTGACAGAAGATGGTACTTGTGCTGCTTTGGATTTTGTGGCCCCGGACACTCACATCAGATGTCCGCTGTGAAGAGCAACTATTTCTTTCAGGGTCTCACTGTGCCCAAGTGTGAACATCCACTCGGTGCCTGGTAACCCAAAAAAACCAGCAGCTGATGGGGGAACAGGCAATGTATGACCATCCCATGTCACTTAAGTCTTGAGTATAGTTTTAACACGTCTCTCTTCTCTCTTGGCTGATTATGCAAGCACCTTTTCGAGAACATGCTGACATATATGCTCATGATTTGGTGGCGCCAACATCACAATCCAGTGTCTCCATGGCGCTTTCCTAGCGCACCGCGCCTCGCAGCATGCGCCGATCCCTTTCGTCGCCTGGACTGCGAGGTGGCTGCTCTGCGAAGCTTCACGACCCACGGCCATGCAGGCGACGCGTCGCGGTCGACGGTGGAGCGGTCAGAGGAGCCTTGAGAACTAGGGGAGCGATCAGGAACACCTGCGGGTTTCCGGATGGTGTCCTGATGGTGAAATGATGAAATGGTTTCAGAATGTGTCAGATTATTTCCTGGGACTGCAGGGCTGGACATCAGTTCGACAGAAATGAAGCTGATGTATGCTGATGTTTTTATCTTGCTCAATAGCTGTGCGACTGAATCATCGAGAACATGCAATTGATTCGATGGTTCAAAAACACCGACTGCTGAGGGTGTTTGCACCCCACATGTTAGTAGAGAATCTACCAGGACCCTCCAAGGGGTGTCTATTTATAGCCCCTTAATTATATAGCCGTTAATTAAGGGGTGTCCATGTCTACCACCCCTTGAAGGCCCTGGTAGAGGGGTATGTGTCCGTCCAACTTCGGTATCACTTAAATTTCAGAAGAGCCTCCAATCAGAAGAGCCCGCGATCGACCAACCGGTGGCTTTTCAAGGGACTCACCGATGCGGTGACAGCGGACCGGAGACGCTCGCGTAAGCCGTCCGCCGTCCAGGTGCCCCTGGGTTCGCGAGACATCGCCGACCCGACCAGCAAAATCGCTGGGACCTCTGACCTCTATCGGAGGAGTGGTGGCCTGGTGACGTCTGACCCCATGAGCCAAATGAGCCCAATGAAATGAGCTCACTGATCAGCTCAGAGCCGGACGAAACCTCTCATCGATGTGTTTCCTTCGGATGCCCTTATGCTTGAAAACCATGGCTCTGCTCGCTTCGCTCAGACTCCGTCAACCAGTGCTCGTCTCCGTCTATCCGCGGCGAGTCACCCGTGCGGGTCTCACCCCCCACCTTGCCTGTGCAAGGGGGGCAGTTAATACCTATGAGGAAAACAGCACCCAAAAAGGAGGACACCGGACACTGGGCTACCCGGACCTCAGTTTCCAGTCGGGCGCAGGTGTTCTCTGGGAAGGGAATAGCAAACATGTGCAGGACCCGAACTCAAAGATATGGAGGTCAAGGGGGTGTTTGAGGCTCTGCAGGATTTGTTGGAGGTGTTCAATGGAAACATCTGCACGCAGTATGCAGCAGTCAAAGGCAGCTTTCTTTGCGGTCTTTCTTCCTCCGGGTTGGCATCGGTGCTTCCACCCAAAACAACTTGCTTTGTTGGATGCAGGGTTCGAACACCGAGTAGGGTGACCTTGTTTTCTTTGCGGTAGCAGCCGATTTTTGTTGGAACATCCACGGTCCAACACACCGCTGGGTCTACCAGCGAGGGGAATTCCCCCGTTCAGGCTTGATCGTCCCAACCCGATTCTGTGGGCCAATCGAACCGGAGATGATGAAGGGCTGAACCACTGGACAAGTTGCAGTGTCGACATGTCGTGCTTGACCAGTTTTTTCTTTAAGACGCTTGGTGCCGCCGTTCGTTCTGACCCGCTGGCCGTTCTCAGCTTGGAGATGATCCATTCGATGAGAGTCGGAGAAAAGACTGTCTATTGATCGGAAAAGCTATTGACGGACAATTGCTGTGGATGCGAGTCCTGACCTGATTGTTAAACGTCATAAGTTCAGATTCCCAGACCGTCTCGAGTATTTTGAAGCTGAGTTGCCCAAATGGAATTCCTATATATTATAGAGTTTACTTCGCATCAAGTTCAACACGCATGACCCACTGAGTGTTGGCCGTCGCAGTGACCGGCCAGAATGGTGCGGAACTCAGTGGTTCCCAAGCTTCGCCCCTGTGGCCATCTCCCAGACACGACTAATGGGACTGGCATGTATGCCTACATTGACACCGACTTCAACCACTCCAATGAATGTATGTAAATATGCCAGTCCCATTAGGAGTGTCTGGGTATGTGAGCATGATTGACGACATGCACATGGTTTGCATTGGCAGAGATAGTTTCGAGTTGTGGACTGCCATCCTGTTTGACACTATACACAGCCACATAGCACAACGCACAGAGACAACAAAACATAACATGTCGTAATAGGATGTAATAGGTGTTCCACTTTCAGGTGACCTACTGACCCTTTTGTAGGATGATGACCATCCCGAATTGAATTGGATCTCTTCAGGGTCGGTGCTTGCATTGGGTGTGACCGGAACAAAAGGCTTAACGGAAAGGGCCCCCGAGCGCAGCGCGGAGAGTGGTTAGGGTTCCTCCGAGTGCAGTATGAGAAAGCTGGAGTACTGTAGCCTGTCCCAGTGCTCTGGAGCTACCTTGGTGCACGGCGTGCTCTGGATTCAAAAGATAGTGGAGCCTTGTACCATTGGAGCCGATTGGGTAGTGGATTGATTTCATATGATTTCTTGTCATCGTGTAGATCGATGGCTATTCCATGCTATTCCACATTGTTATTCATCGAAGGGCTATAAGGCTATGAGTACATCCAATTGCAGAGATGGTATTTTTCTTATATTTAAGTCTAAGTTATGTGTTCAATCCTTTCCCTGTTGCCACCGGTTCAACCCGACCAATCCATTTGGGCCCGTGCCAATGAAGATACAGATCATCAGAAGCTGTTCCAGCTGTGACCGTGAAAGCAGCTGTGTTCCTTTCAAAGTGCCCTACGCTGCCACTTGGCCCCCTAAAATACGATTAAACAAGAATACCAGCAGTCACAAAGGGGTATACTTAATGGAGGAAGTCGGGGTGCCCAGCTACTCCACTCACTGGATGGGACGAGCCACACCACCCAGGCCCTCCATGTGACTCCTGGTAGATATCTCCGCTTCCGACCGGTTCTTTCCGTTCTCCCGGCGCCGAGAGCTTTCCGCGGTGCTTTGCTTTCCGCGGTGCGTTCTGCGTTCCGCCTTCCGAGGCGCCGAAGAAGCGGAAGCTGCCAAGCACCCGAGCCAGGCGGTGTCGTGTTTAGCAGACCACGGCGAAGGGTAGCGATGGTTTTTAAGGGTTCTGGCTTTTTTGCGGGGGAACCACTACCAGGGTGTTGGCAATGTTTGGCTAAGGCTCGTTCTTTTTGATGTCAATTGCGATGTCGGTATGCAACAGTTGAGGTGCTACCATCAGCTTCAAGAACCTATAAAGATGTAGATTCTAAAAAGAAAGCTCGTCTTTTCAGACTCTTCTGTCACTTTCTCATTCATTTGGTGCTCCTTCGTCCGCACCTGGGACTTTTGAGCACTACGCCACCAGGAATGGCTTTTGGTTCTACCCACATTGCTTCGTTTTGACGCTAACTGCACTGAACATTTTCAAGCGATTCGGCTCATGGACGTCCCCTGAGCGTTCAACGCTGCACCGCAGTCCGGTGGTCGAGGACCCAGCGCGTGGTCGAGCGGGACGTGCTCACCGAGCGCGTGCCAGACTTCGTTAGGTGGGGGGTCGTGGTGGGTCGAGGGTGTGCTGTCCACGCCCCATGGGGTGGTCCCAAGGTGGGTCGGACATGGGCCGCGTTCAGAAGAGGTAGACCCTATGTTCGTTGCTGCAAAGATCCAAGTCGTTTGGACCTTTCAAGCCGTTTCTGAAGGAATCAGCTCGTGTGAGAAGACATGAGAGTTCCCTTTGACAATCACCATTTTCTTTGGGATGAGAATTGCACATTGCCTGTTCAAAGGCAGTGGTAAGTTATTTGATTTAATGGGTGCATTGAATTTGAAAGACTTGGGTTTGCATGTTCCATTTCTTTGTGAGCTGACATTGCCGCTCAAGGAAGCCTTGATCCAAACTGTCAGCATTTGATTACTTTGTCAGAGGGGGGCCGCAGTGAGCGTTCAAACAAAGCAAAACCGAAGTTGACTGGTGTAACCTGTGGGAACAGGGAGACTTGGCTTGCATCATAGCAGAGAGAACAAGTCTGGGCGGCAACGTTGCGTTGGAGCTGTGCAAAGAAATGTACAATAACACATAATTATTTTTGTGATAATATACATGTCAGCTTCCTTTTGAGGATATGTGGTTCGAACTTCAATTTGGAGTCATAGCCATTCTTTGTCTCTAGACTCTAGCTTAATGGCAACATGGAAGAGGGAGGAAAACATCTAAAAGCAAACAAGCAAGCCTTAAACACACAAACGTTACACTGGGGAGTCCTTTGCCCGAAAAGATAGAAGCACAGGCCGTCGCGTGCTTGGAGTGTCGTCCACAAAAACGACGATCCGCGGGGGGTTCAGGTCTTCCAGGGACGCGGCAGAATGTCTTTGTGGCGCTTGCTTGCTGCCCATCGAGGAGGAGAAGGCGTGAACCTTCGGCGTGAACCGGGTGGACGGAGGATGTCCGGACGGATCCCAGGCGCGTTCAGTGGGAAGAAAGCCATGTAGGTCCATTCTTGAAGTGCCATGTTTCGTGCGAAAGCAGTGCCCGGTGTTGCGGCGAAAGCAGTGCCCGCCCCCAAAAGTAGAAACACAGCTGAAATTGTAAGCCCAGGATCGTATGAGGGCCCAGTCGTGCGACCCAGTCCGGCACCTTCGACCACCAGTCAGATGCTCCGATTCTGTAGGTTGGAGCGATCGACAACTGCACACATCTTTTCCACTACGAGTGTGTCCGGAAGCCGAGTGTATCCACTACAGAGCGTGGCCGGCTTTTCATCGGACCAGTTGGACAGGTCCAAGCACCATCTCGGATTCCGTGACAGGAGCCCCCGTAGAGCTCGCCCCGTTTCGTTCCGATGCTTTGGAGGCTTCCGTGGTCCGTTCCTGAACGGAACCTCCACCCGTTCCCCAAGCGGAATCCGTTTCGACCTGTTTCGACCCGATGTGCCGGGCCTGAGCGGCCGGCCGCCTGTCTGTCGGCTGCTTTCAAGGTCGAGAAGTGGTCGCAGACAGAGAACAGCTGTCCACAATGCAAAGTGCGTTTCTTCTGGATGGTCGGGGGGCCGTCAGTCGTCGCTATGTGTGATGGGCAGTGTTTGTCCGCTGGTATCCGCTGGTGCATTGTTGGAAGAACTCATCATTAATCACCAGCAACTTTCAAGGGTTCTCCAAGAGACTACTCTACACACTACTTGTGGATCTCCATTGGGCGCCCCTTTGGAGGTCCAGGCATGATTACACTGATTGCACAGTTCTTATTGCTAATGAATTCGTGCAGGTCCTTGCGGTTTGGACTAGAACAGCGGAGCTACAGCATTGATATTTGTCACTGCAAATACCATGTTTTTGCCAGTGACCTCACTAGATTCTAATAGATGACAGATGATGACAGTAGTCCATGGAGGACCCAATGGATCCTGGGTGAGGCGTTGACGCGACGTCACAGAGAGTCCAACCGGTCAGAAACCACTCAAGTCTATAAAGATCTATACCAGGACCCGACACTGTGGGGTGTCTATTTATAGCCCCTTATATAGCCGTTAATTAAGGGGTGTCCATGTCTACCACCCCTTAAAGGCCCTGGTAAGTGATGTTTTTTTATTTGTGGTTTCAAGGGGCTTCAGTCAAGGGACTGTTTTCGAAGTGTTTGGACCACCGAGTCAAGTTGACTGAGTCTAACCTCAAGAAACCACTCAAGGGCTTCTCCAAGTAGTTTCAGTCCCTGGCATGCCGAAGTCTCCTTGCCACTCACTCACATCTCCGCTCTCTCGAAGTCGGTCATCTCGCAGGCAGGTTATGGGGCGGATCAGAGACTTTCCCTGAGCAAGGTGGAAAGCTCCGGACTCAGCGACATCGATCAGGGCAACCCAATGGACGGGACGGACAAGCAGCGTGCTGCGGGAGCAGAAGAAGCCACAGCAACAGTCGATGGCGGTCGATTCAGGAGAACTCTAGGGCCAGCTAAACTCGATGATACTCGATGAATACTCATCGATACTCATCGTCCCATGTCAGTTAATTAAGACTATTTCTAGAGTCTTCAAAGGATTTTTCATATTTTTTCATGGCACCAGCCCCGCCAGAGCCTTTCCAAGCCGACTGGTTTCACGCTGAAAACCTCCTGTGTTCCTTTGAGCTGCCGAAGCACATCAGCCGTGAGCCCAGGCAAAGATCAGGAAGAGCAGGAGCCCTGAACGATCCTGGACGTGCTTCAGAATTTCGATCCCATTTGAGTCTGATCAAAATCAAGCCATTTTGCTCTACACAGCTCTTGCCAGCCCAAAACGGCCAAAAAAACGGCCAGCACCGGTTTGGTGTTCGGAGCAGGGTCACCGCACCCAGGCAGCGGACCCTTGACATTTGGGCTGAAAAAGACGAGTCCATAAGATCCATTTGTTTTGAGATAAGGTTGGCATGATCGAGACTTTGTTTCTTCCACTGTGTCCTTCCTTTTGGTCTTGATTTCATGTTTGGGGTACCAAGTTGGGGGATATGCATATATTACTATATGGGGTTGATGTGATGTTAGAGTTAGAGTATCTATATGTGTTTTTTTTTGTGCTGTTATATGTTGTTGTTATCCGCCGACCCCGGCCTATAGCCAAAGCCTAGGCGGGGAGGCGCCTGGGACACCGCAGGGTGAAGCAGTTGGCCAAGCCTAGCAGAACCCTTCAAGCACTTCCAAAGGCGCAGGATGCAGCAGTTGGCCAAGCCTAGCAGAACCCTTCCAAGCACTTCCAAAGGCCTGTCCGAGGCCTCACCAGCTGGCCGGCCTGTTGCGGCCTCTCTGTGGCCTGTCCGAAGCCTGCCTCCTCTCTTCTTA